CTGCTCCCTTTCCATCATGAACCTTAGATAGTGCTGGGGTCTGCAATCTGCACACCCCTCCCTGGCTAAAGGAAGCCCCATGGCCACAGAGAGGGAGAGAGGACTTCAGCTGCTCACCGGGGGCCCAGGTTCACCAGCAGCTCCATCCTCTCCAGGAGATCCAGGGGGTCCCATGAAAACATCAGTTCCTGGCTTTCCTGGAATCCCAGGCAAGCCAGGTGGGCCTGGGGGACCTGGGGGACCCTAAGAAACAGACACTGTTAGAACTAAAGAGGGAGGGTAAATATATACCGAGCATGTGTTCCATACATTCTCTCCATTTCTTATAACAACACTACAAGTATGAACTGGTGTTCCCACTTAGCAGATGGGAAAATTGAGGCTCAGTGAGACCATGTGATTCAAGGGCTCACACATGCAGCTCATTAGTAATAGAAAAGCTGAAATTTGAATCTAGGTCTTTCTGAGCCCATTATATCATGTTTTCTCCCAAATGGGTGTACACAATAAAAGATCCAATTAGTTGGAATTCTCAGAGGTGCTCTAGCTAATTTAGTTTTCTGATTAACTGTGAGGCAGGTCGAAAACTGCCTCTTTAGCTGTGTTGTTAAAACTCTTCCTGAAATGTACTAGTCTCTTTAGCCTCTTGCCGGGTTGGCTGATTCCACCGGCATGGAAGACCCATTTGGCTCCCACTCTGCCCAACCACTGAGGGCAGCCTTCCTGCCCTGGCTCTGATCAGTGGGCAGAGGGGCAGCCAAGTGGAGCCTCTAACTGGGTATTCAGCACAGGTGCTCAGGGGAAGGGGAGGAGAGGAGGTTGGGGGCCAGGGACAGAGGCACCAGCTGCAACTGGAGAAGGGAGGAGCCCTGCAGGGGACAATTTAGAGAGGGACCCGTGGAGACCCAGCCTTGGGCAGGAGGCCGGGGGACCAAGAGGTGCCAAAGAGGGAGAAAGAGCAGTCTGGGGAGGCAGAGAGGGGGTTGCCTAACAGTAGGGAGAATTTCAAGAAGGTTCTAGAAGCCAAAGTGCAAAATGCTACCCAAGGAAGAGGCCAGTAGGTCTCTCTAATGAATAAGGGGTGAAGGGGGGATCAAAAGCCACCTTGTAGAGGTGGGGGTCAGTGGGCACGCTTTCTCTGGAACAACTTGCTTGGGAAGCCTGCTAAGGAAAGGAGGAAAGTGGAGAAGGGGAGTCCTGGATACAAATTTAGGCTCATACTCACTTAAAACAAAAGGAAACTGATCAAAATGGAAAATTTCAAACACATAAAAGTAAGGGGAAAAGTATAATGAACCCCCATGAACTCACCTCCAATAATCCTCAACAGTGGCTAACCTGGCTTCATCTACAATCTCCCCACCCCCATGTCCCTCCTTCCTGGATTATTTTGAAGTCAGTCCCAGACACCACGTGGTGTCATGCTTCACACTCACTCTTAACAGCTCCTCACTGCCCGCCAGGTGCCCGGAGCCAGAGCTGATGTCTGAGCCCCAGCCCAGGCCGGAGCCCTCAGCCTCCACTTCCACCTGGAGAGAGAAGAAATTCCCACACTTGGATTCAGCTGCCAGTCTCCAAGGACAGCCATATCACTGAAAGTTTTCCCAGCTTCTGCAGCCCTACAACTTCTGCTCCCAACTTTCCTTCTGGCGATTTCTCTACTCCATTCTACAGCTACCGGCCATGCTCTCTGCCTCCCAGCTGTGCAGCCTGCATGAGACCAGTCCTGCCTTTCCTTCCTGCCTTCCAAATCCCTACTCATCCTTCAAGGTCCTGTTCCACGGTCACCTCCTTTGTGAAGCTCTTCCTACCCCATTTTCAGGCAGAATTCATCTCTCCCTCTTCTCTACTCCTACTGGCTTATCAAAGTCTCAATTGGGTGTTAGGACCACCCGGCTTGAAGCTTAGTTATGCGTGTGTCTGTCGGTCCCTCTAGACTAGGGCTGCTCCAGAGTGTGCCCAATCCTGAGACACACTGGGTGTCCAGAGTTCAGCACAGAGTCTAGAGTTCAAGATCTGGCACTGAGAAGTCACTCGGTGCATACTAGTTAAATGTCATCAAATTCTTCCAAAGAACCAAAGGGAGTTTTTAAAATACCCTTCTGGTACTTAATTCCTGAAACAGGAACCAGGCAAGACCTAATTCAACCACTGAACGTAAGTGTATTGAGCATCTGTTGAGAGGCTCTGAGAAGGAGCTGAGTCTCAGGGTTAGAGCTGGGTTTAGGAAGGTCACGGTGTCAGGTATATGTGGGTGGGAAAAGAGGTGGTGATAACAGAGGCGGGGAGACCAATTAGGAGCTGCTGCCACAGTCTGAGGGAGGAGGCAGCACTGCACAGCTCACTCGGAGGACTTGGGGATGCACTGGATGGGGTGCAGGAGGGAGAGGAACACTTGAGGACGCTTCCTGGTTTCTCCCTTAGTGACCAGGGAGATGGGGAGCCCAGGAGGAGGAGCAGCTCTGGGCACAGGTGGTACTATGGGTTGATTGAATTGTGTCCCCCAAAGTCCATACACTAAAAGCTTCATTCCCACTATAACTGTTGAGGGTGGTAAATCTTATTACGGTAATTGAAAGGTGGGGCTTTGAAGAGGTGATTAAGTTGATGGCTTCATGGTGGTCCTGGACATGGTTCTGAGGGCTTTAAAAAGAGAGTATGTGAGGGTCTCTGTCTGCTTCGCCATTTTCTGCCATGTGAGAGCCCTGCATTGCTGTAAAGCCACCACTAAAGAAGAACCTCACCAGATGTGTTCCCTGGACTTTGGATTTCCCAGTTTCCAAAACTGTAAGCAATTCATTTCATTTTCTTACAAATTACCCAGTTCCAGATATTTTGTTATAAGCAACAGAAACAAACTAATATAGGTGAAGAGTCCAGTTTGGGACATGTTGAGTTTGAGGAGCCTCTGGGCTACTCAAGGGGCAGGATATAAACTGGATATAAGTAACTCTGCTCCTGAGCACACTGTAGGGTTCTAGCAGAGGCAGAGAGCCCTGAGATCTGACAGAAAGCTACTTTGGGGCTGACAAAAAGAATCCTCAGCCTCTGGCTGTTTCTGCTTTATCCCTGGTCCCTGCACACTGTGTGTGTGTGTGACAAGCCTGGGGGGAATCTCACCGTGGGTCTGGCAGGCTCAGAAGGTCCAGCGGGGGCAGGAAACCCCTCCCCCACATCACCCTAAAAAGAACAGAATGGTTAGTGAAGCGCTGGGCACCCCCTCTTCCTACATCCCCTTTCCTTTCTGTAGAAATTGTGCTCATCCTTAACATGAGAATTACGCAGGAGTGAAGAAAGGCATTGTCCTTTACAGAGACAGCCCAAGGAGGCACCTTGTCCTCCTCAGGGCACAGGAGCCCTTTGTTTCCTCACAACACTGGTGGGGTGGATGGATGTGCTGGGAAGAGCTGAACAGCGTGGACTAGTTCTGCACACCCCCACTGGCCCCTCAGGCTTTCCCCATCCCTGGTCTGTGACCTGCCGGAGCACCGGTATCCAGGCCCAGCCCAGCCTGCCTCTGAAGCCTGTCTTGCCCACCGCTCCTGTAGTCTTTACGGTGTCTGCCTCCCCAGGACCCTGGGCCCTCGAGGGCAGGCACAGTGCCTAAATCACCTCCAGGACCCAGGATCCAGCACAGGGCTGGTGCTCAGGAAATGCTTTTAGAATGACAGAAGCCCCCACTTGGAAAGGAGAGAAACAAATGAGAAAGAGTGGCATCCGGGAGGTTTTGGCTGTCAACAAGGGTCCAGAGAAATGGTTGCCCTGGCAAATAAGGTGACAGGATGGCTGAGCCACTAAAAGGAGAGTGGAGATGTCAACGGTGAAATCCCAAAATACATATGCTGTGATTGTCCCCCTCTCAGAGCCCCTGCTGCTCCCCAGAGCCCTGCTGACACCCGAAGTCCACTGAGGTGGCCAGGGGCAGACAGCAGTGAGGATCCCCACCTCCCCAGCCCCAGCTGTCCCTTCCAATGTCCTGGTAGACAGACTCCAGAGGCCCTAGGGCAGGATCTTCTGGGACCATGCACCGGGGTTGCTGTAGATACATCCCCTTGGGAATAGTTTAACATCAGCAGGTGCTTCGGTAACAGGAATTCGTTATCTTTCGTGGTGACTACAACCAGACAAGGCATTCCCATATGCATCACCTCATTTCATCCCACCCCACAGGGCGACCATCTCCACCCCCATCTTACAGATGAAGAAACTGGAGCAAAGAAGTGGTTGGGAACTTCCCTGAGATACTACAGCTACTAACAGGCAAATGTAGGTCTGTGTCCTTGGAAGCTCTTGACTGCCCAACACTTTCCCAGGAAGAAAATCTGGAGCGGAGTCCAGAGCTTAGACACAGAGCATCAGAATCAGAAGAACCCTTTGACTACAGATGGGGAACCCAAGGCCCACGGAAGTCAAGGAAGGACCTGGTCACCAGCTGGTAAGAAGAGACTCAGCCGGAACTGCCCCTGTGCTGTTTTCATGATTCTCAGACTCTCAGTTGGATCTACTTTGGGCCCAGTCCTCTTGCTGCTTCTACTATCACCTTGATCAGAATTCACAAAATCAACCCCAAATAACATGCCCAGGACACTTGATCAGGAGCTAATGTGTTCTCCAGAATGGGCACAGTATGAACCTTTTCTCCTTTGGGCCCAGCCTGTCCTTTCATTCCCACATGCACTCCTTGAGCCTAAAACAGGAAGATTTAGTTAAAACTGGGTTTTTGGGACATGGAGCTGCTGAGCTCTAATGACATTCCCCGGTCCTGGTTAGTGAGCTGGGATTGAGCTGGGGCTTGCCCGGGACTGGAGTCAGCAAGCCCCGTGAGAGGGGGCTGTCTAGTCACTGCAGCGTCCTGCACCCAGCAGATAACAGGCTCTCACTGCCTAGTTGCTAAATGACTAGCAGGAAGACCATGGCATTCGGAGTCACCCAGACCTGACAATCATTCTTATCTTTTACCAGTGTTCCACAACACAGTGAGCTGGGGCTTGCCCGGGACTGGAGTCAGCAAGCCCCGTGAGAGGGGGCGGTCTAGTCACTGCAGCGTCCTGCACCCAGCAGATAACAGGCTCTCACTGCCTAGTTGCTAAATGACTAGCAGGAAGACCACGGCATTCGGAGTCACCCAGACCTGACAATCATTCTTATCTTTTACCAGTGTTCCACAACACAGATTTTAAATATATTACTTCATTTCAAGGGCAATGTTCTCCATATGTTCTCTAAAAGATTATAATATATAGTCAGTGCTTAGAAATGAAATGACTTCATTTCAACCACTATGGGCTTTGCTAACCAACTTCTAGCTCATATCTAAAATGATGGTTGTGGACAGTGCAAAAAAAAGGCCAAAAGTCCAGATATCAAGACCCTCACCGCTACTTGACCCCTGGGAGCTGTGTGACCTTAAGCAAATCCTTAACTTTCTCTGGGACTCATCTGCAAAATAATTCTATATAGTGAATTTATTGAGCAGGTGCTATGTGCTAGGTAACATTTTCCACGTATTAATTCATTTAATCTTCATAACAAGTCAAGAGACAGGTACTATGATCATGATCCCCATTTTATGCATGAGTGTACTGAGACAGCCAGAGGTGAAGAAATGGTCCCAGACATGTGCAGAGCCAGGCTTGGATGCCGCTTCTAACCCAGCAAGCTACACTGCCTTGGGTGACTCAGATTCAAAATGATCCTAACGATATTCCACAGTGGGTGCCCTCTTGACCATCCTTATCGTGCTTCCAAACTATCTGCTCAGGAACTGGAGCATCTGTTTCGGTTCACAGCAGGTTCCCCACACAGGCACTTGGCAGTGACCTGTCTTCATCAATTATGTGCCAGGAGGAGATACTGTGTGCTCTGCTCTTCTTTCTCCCTTTCTCTTTCTCTCTCTCTCCCTCTCTCCATCCCTCTCTCTTTCTCTTCTTCCCTTAGAGCTTTTTTGGAAGACACCAAAATATATTAAGAACCTAACAACCTCCCATGGGTCCACCACTCTGAGACAACAACTGCTAACATGTACAGAGGGTATTTCCTTCTAGTGTTTTGACATGTGCATATTTTTGAATAGTTAAGACCACACAATATACTGCTCAAGTTTATAACCAGCTTCTTTCACTTAACATTATATGGTAGCATTTCCACCCATCACTAAATATATTACTTCTAGTAAACATAATTTTAATAGCTGTGTAATGTCCCATTATTTGAATAAACTTCAGTTAACCCCCTATTGTTGGCTAATTAAATCATGCCAAATTTTTCTCTATTACAGACAATACTTTTGTAAACAAAGCCTTTTTTAAATATCAGACTATCTCCATTGATCGATTCCTGGAAGTTTCTGTGTCGACAATATGCATTTTCATAGTTGTTAATAGATGTATATGGATAAGTTTCCCAGAAGTAGGAATCCCTTAGCTCTCCCACGAGCACAGCTGGTCTCACCAGGCCAACTTCTCAAAGCAGAAGACAAAGGATCTAAGAACAACTCACCCAGTTTCTTCAACAAATCAGTGGCAGAAAGAAAAAAGAAAGTGGGAGACAACGAGAGATTAAAAGAAACTCAAGAGACATATCAACCAAATGCAATGTATAGACCCTGTTTGAATTCAGATTCAAATAAACTCACTGTAAAAAGTTATTTTTTAACCCGCCCCCCAAAACAGGGTATTCGATAATATAAAGCAACCATTGTTAATATGTCAGATGGATAATGACATTGTAGCTATGACCAAAAAATAATTTAGAAAGTTCCAGATCATTCTATGAGTGATACACATTGAATTATTCACCAGTTAAATGATATGCTATTTGGGATTTGCTTTTAAATAATCCAGCTTTCCCCTCCCTCCAAAAAAGATGGTGGTAGGAGGCGGAAGAGATAAAGCCAGATGGGCAAATATCGATAATTGTTCAAACTGAGTGATGAGTGTGTGTGTGCGTGTGTGTGAGATGGGGGAGGGTTAATTATACTAATCTAAGCCCTTTTGTAAATTTTTTGCATTTTCAATAATAAAAAGTTAAAAAGAGAGAGAAAAGGGAGAACTGGATCTCTCTGTACCTGCTGTGGCACCACTCAGGGGAGATCTGGTCTTAGATTTTTGCACATCCCTTGTGGTTGAGAGCAGAAGGGGACAGGGACTTGTTTAGGAAGTATGTGGGCTGGGGGCCCATTAGCACCCCTAGGGGTGCTGAGCCCCAGCCCCAGTGTCTCACTTACTTGGTCTGGCATTGGACTCAGGCAACTGTGTTGTCTTAAGCTTCCCAGTGTCTCTAATGTGCAACCAGAGTTCCTGTTCACCTTCCTCCTCTTATAGGTGATGACAGAGTTGTGGTGTCCCTGGAGGTGGAACCTTGGCCTCCTGGCTCTGTCTTGGGTCTTTCCACCGCACCACACTCTCACGGACGAGAGCAGCAGCCGTGATGCTCAAGAGCCCAAGCTCTGCAGCCAGCACATCCGGCTCAGCTCGCACCTCTGTCTCCAAGTCCCACTTCCCTCCCCTAGAATGGACAGTATTCACCTGGCACCAGAGTAGTGCTGTGTACAGACTCAGATAAACTCAGAACGCACAGTGCTTTATCAGTGTCAGTTCAGCCAGTTTATTTCCTTCCCCTAGACTGAATTCCTTGGGGACAGGAGCGAGGACATATTCACCTCTATCTCCAAGTGTCTGGACTGAGGGCCCAGAGTTACTGCATTCAGTCAACGAGCAAATCAATGAATGCGTGGAGGACAGCTGTACACAAAGAGGCAGTAAGCAGCATGGTGACCAGTGGGACACTAGAAGAGGCCCGTGAGCAGGGGGCATTCAGGACTCCAGTTGGGATCCCCGACCTCCCGATCTACGGCCCCTCCCCTCACAGGCCTGTCCTGGAGCAGTGTGGACCATGGACCACATGACCATAGCTTGAGTTGTGGCTTTCAAAGTGTACACGACCGGGTGTTGCTTGGGGAACTGATGAGCCCAAGCTGGTCACCAGTGGGATGTTTTCCCTTAAAAATAAATTCATGTTTGAAGAGCAGTTTTATCCCCTACTTGTTCCTGGCTCTGTCTTGGGTCTTTCCACCGCACCACACTCTCACAGACGAGAGCAGCAGCCATGATGCTCAAGAGCCCAAGCTCTGCAGCCAGCACGTCCGGCTCAGCTCGCACCTCTGTCTCCAAGTCCCACTTCCCTCCCCTAGAATGGACAGTATTCACCTGGCACCAGAGTAGTGCTGTGTACAGACTCAGATAAACTCAGAACGCACAGTGCTTTATCAGTGTCAGTTCAGCCAGTTTATTTCCTTCCCCTAGACTGAATTCCTTGGGGACAGGAGCGAGGACATATTCACCTCTATCTCCAAGTGTCTGGACTGAGGGCCCAGAGTTGCTGCATTCAGTCAACGAGCAAATCAATGAATGCGTGGAGGACAGCTGTACACAAAGAGGCAGTAAGCAGCATGGTGACCAGTGGGACACTAGAAGAGGCCCGTGAGCAGGGGGCATTCAGGACTCCAGTTGGGATCCCCGACCTCCCGATCTACGGCCCCTCCCCTCACAGGCCTGTCCTGGAGCAGTGTGGACCATGGACCACATGACCATAGCTTGAGTTGTGGCTTTCAAAGTGTACACGACCGGGTGTTGCTTGGGGAACTGATGAGCCCAAGCTGGTCACCAGTGGGATGTTTTCCCTTAAAAATAAATTCATGTTTGAAGAGCAGTTTTATCCCCTACTTGACACAAGCTAAGGGCCAGCTCTAAGTACCCATTTATAAAATACAAAGTTACAGCAGCCCTCCAGCAATGACACCCCATGTGTGTATACAGAGCTTTCCAGACACTCTCTGATCTGACCTCACACTGCCTCTTTCACAGAGGGGGAAACTAAGGCCCAGAGAAATGAAAGGTTGTGCTTAAGGTCACGCAGTTGTAGCCCAGAATCATAGAAACTCATGTGGGAAGGGACTTGAAGGTCACCGCCGCACCACCTTCTAGGCTTCCACCCCCTCTACAGTCCCCGCCACGTCTCATAGTTAGCTTTTGCGTCTTTGGACAGTGCTGCTTGTTAGAAAGATCTCGCTTCAGTTAGAAAGGGCAGCTCGGGACACAAGGCTGGGTCCCCTTGGTTTGTACCTCTTGCTTTCTCCTCTACAAACTGCAGTTTCCTTGCGTGTTCCCCAGGTTGAAGGCCCTCCAATGCCCACATTTGCCAACCAAAATGAAAACCCACCTCCGAGAGAGCCAGGGGCTGGTCCCTCCCACAACTCCAGCCTTTCTTTCTCTCCCTCACCCACCGTCAGATCTGCCAGGCTGAATCTCTACACCTCCACTTACCAGAGTGACCCCTGTCTCAGGGGCCACCGTGGGTATGGGGAGCGGCGGCCCGTCAGGCGGAGTGTCATGGGACTCTTCTCCTCTAGTTGAGGTAAAGGGCCCCTCTGCTGTGGCTGCTGGCAAGTCTTCATCGCCAGGTACCTGAAAACAAAACCAGTGTGCGCAATCAGTCCATGATGCCACGGACACACGGCTGCGGGGAGCTGTTGTAACTGTCATTCACACAGTGCCAGCCCAAGTTCAAAACACTTTCTTACTTACAACCGTCATCACCCCAGCACACCCACAGAAGCACAGTCCCGCACACCTGCTTCTGAAATATGCATCTCCTCTAAGGGCTTAGCCCATCCCCAGGCATGGGGTGCTCACTGCCCCCCACCTCCAACTTTGGACCATTCGTCTCTGAGAAGCTTCTTCTTGGACAAAGCTGGGAGGCAGCAGGGTCCAGGCAAAACCCCAACGCCTGACCCCTCTGCATGCTCTTCCCTAGCCAGACTCATGCTCAGAATGAGGCTCAAGGAGCATGGCCTCTGCGAAGGCCGACCCCGCCCCTGCCCCATCACGCTGACCCCCTCACCCCTGTGAGCTGGAGGGACACTGGATGACACTTACAGAAGTGACCAATTGCCCAGGGGCTGCTGTGGCTGTGAGGGGAGCCATGCCATCCGTGGGGACCCCGCTGGCCTCCTCTTCCTCGAAAGTGCTGAGTGGCATTTCTGTTGCGGCTGCAGCTATTGTAAAGCTTTCTTCACCGTTTGGACCCTGAAAGAAAATTGGCATGACGGGTTGTGCCATTTGGCTCTGCCCCTGGTTGGGTGGGTGTGTGGGTGCAGGGAGGAACCACCGGGCTGTCAGATAACTGGCATCCCCATAACTGCCTTGCCATTGCCCTTCCAGGATGACGCCCTACCCTGCAGACTCCTGGAGCTCCTGGGTCAGGATGCACCTTTCAGGGCATCTCCAACCACCCCAGAGTTCCCCTAGCACAGGTCTGTCAACTGCTTCTCCAGCCTTAGCTTGCATACCTCCAGTCACAGGGAGCCACCTCCACGGGCAGCCCTCTATGTTCAGACAGCTCTGATGGTGGAGGTCTAGTTTCTATTAAGCTAGGACTTGGAGCTGAGACCTCACCCCTGGTTTTCACACCCTGTGATAAGTGCTTCTTGAAAGAAGAAAGGGAGAGGGCGATGGGGAGGGGAGGGAAGGGAGTGAGGAGAAAGAAAGGGAAGGGGCGAGGAGGGAGAGGAGGAGGAGGAGGGAAGAGTAAGCAGGAGGAGAGGAATTTGTTCATTGAAATATCCGTATAACTACCACGCGGCCTGGAGGGCTCTGTCAGCTGGTCGGCGTGTGTCGTCCCACTGTCAAGTTTCCCTGCATGGACATTATGCCAGAGCTGGAAGGCTGCCTGACCAGTGTGAGACAGACCCAAGGAGCAAGTTCGTGCAGCGACCTCAAAGGCCAGGGCTGCTGATCTGTGGTGGCCTGGTGACCTCAGCATTCATTCGCTCAGCAAATGTTCACTCAGGGCCTACCACGGTCAGGACTGAAGCATCTCAACAAGCAAGACGCATGGAATCCCCGTCCTCTCAGAGCTTACGTTCCGGGAGCGAGCCAGACACAACCGTTCAAGTGCATTACTAATGGCAATTATGATGAGGCCTTCCTGGACAAGAAAGGGGTGTCACGAATGTGTCTGATGGGAGACCCACGGTGTGGGACGCACCTTCTTGAGGAAGTGGTGTTTGAGCTAAACTCTAAGCAAGATTAAAAGAAGAGGAGGGACAACAGGTTCCGAGCAGAGAGGAGAGGGTGTGGGAGAGGGCAGGAGGAAGAGCCTGGAGTGCCAAGAGCGGGGAGAGTGGCCCAAGACGTGGTCGTCAAGGCTGGCCAGGGGACCCTGCCAGGCCTTTCAGGCCGAGGAGCAGCTGAGTGTGCAGGAAGAGCGACAGGACACCCCCAAAGAGGGGCATGAGAGCGGACAGAAGAGGCCAGGCAGGCCCTTAGCAATCGCCAGGGCTCACGACGTGTTTAGGTAGAAAAATCAACAAGGCTTGATGCTCCACGGGATGTGGGATGCAAGGAGGAGGGAAGAGAATTCTGGATTGGGCGACTGCAGGACAAAGATCCCATTTGCCTGAAGTGGGAACACAAGAGGAGCAGAAGTGAGGGGTTTTGGTTTGAGTCTGTTGAGCTAGAAGAACTTGAGGGCATCCGTCATAGGGATGACACTTGCCGAGTGCCCTGTAATGCTTGTGTCCTGCCTCCAGGAGGCGGGCATGGTGTCTCCACACTGCAGGACAAGAGAGCTGAGAAGACCTGGCTGTGCCCTCTGCTGCCCTCTGCCCCTGCTGTGACCTCCATCGCAGCCCTCACCCCTCTGCTCTGGCACTGGACCCCCTGCTGCTGGAGACAGCAGGGCCCTGCCTGCAGGCCCGGGACTCACCCCACCTCTCTGAGCCCCCCCTGAGCAGGGGCTTTACACTCACCCAGGCCCTGGCAGACTCCACCTTGGGGGAGCATGTGGTCAGAGAGGTGCCCCTCCCCACTCACGCTCCTCTGACTTTGCCGGGCAGAATGAGACCCACACTCTGACAAGGCCAGAGGCTGCTCCCAGCTGTGACCTCGACCCCTCAGTGCTTTACGCTCCTTACCGGAGTGGCCACTTCCCCCGGGCTCTGGGTGGACATGGAGAAGGCTGGCGCCCCAGTGGGCACACTGCTGGCCTCTGCTTCCCCGGCAGTGCTGACCGGCAACTCGGCCTCCCCTGCTGCTGTCGCTGCTAAACCTTCCTCATCATCTGGACCCTGAAGGACATCACGAGAGGCCACGTCAGTGGATCCACAGTCCTGACTCACTGGCTGTGGCTGGAGGGAGCAGACGGCAGGCACCTCCTGCAGCTGCGTCGTTTCTCTCCCTCACCTTCAAAGCGCTTGCACAGCCATGTGGCGTCACTACAGAAAGCTGGACTCCACACACCACCCAAGGTGCGAGTCCCCACCCAGCACCCACCTACACAGGTTCACCCAGCTCCTCCCTGCTAACCTCGAGTGCCATGTGCTCACCAGCAGCCCTTTCCAACTCTGTCCCCTACTCCTGAGAGTGGCGCTTCTCCTGGTGCTTAAGCTGTTGTATTGGGACAAAAACCCAGGTCCTCAGGCTCCACAGCTTTCTTGTTGAAGGAGCTGTCTACACTCGTTGACCACTTCCTGCCACACGGTGCCCCTAGCCCAGTGCCATCTGGCTTTCACCCTTCCCACATCCCTATTCTCCCCAAAGTCACTCACTGTCACATTTACAAGTCCAGTGGCCACTTCTCAGTCCTTAACTCACTGGGACTTTTGGCAGGATAGAGCACTGTTGACATCACCGTAGGGTAAGCTAACTCCACTGCTCACCTGGACTCCAGACACAGCCTCCAAACCAATCCCCTGTGTCCATGTTTGCTTCCCCCATCCACTCTCCACTCCGCAGTCAGGGTGATCTTTCTGGAATTCTAATCTGACTAATGCACTTCCCATTTCTGCTGGATCCTCTCAGGCTCCTCATGTGGCTCCCAAAGCCCTCTGTGGTCCTGTAGGCCTCTCCAGCCACCTCCCCCGTCCCCGGCTCACGTCTGAGCCCCCGCAGGAGCAGGCACATCGCACTTCTTTAGGTTTCCACTGGTGACCCCAGGTCTTTGCTCCTGCTGGCCCCCTTCCTGGAACACCCGTCTCACCCCCATCTGCTAGGCTTCTTCTACTCATGCTCCTGGCCTCACCTATGACAGCCTTTCCCCAAGAAGGCTTCCTTGACCCCAAATCTGGATTCTGGACCCTCTTCTGTGCTCCCAGAGCATCCTGTGCTTCACTGATTTTCACTCTTATCCCTGGGAACCAGGTATATCTTATTTACCCTCAATCCCTGCAACCAGGCCTAGGGGCCACCACAGTGCAGCACAGTGCTCTGTAAACATCGGCGGTCACTACACGCCCTGGCCCCACAAGGCCATCACTCTGCACCTTGCAGACAGATGAGGAAGGCCAGTGACTGCTCCCACGTGAGACGCCCCTGTCCCCCAGAAGCAGGTGAAGTGGAGCTTGCACTCGGAGCTACTTACTGGAGTGACATCCTCCCCGGAGCTCTGAGTGGACATGGACAGCGTTGGCTCCCCAGTGGGCACACTGCCAGCCTCTGCTTCCCTGGCAGCACTGGTGGGCCCCTCGGCTGCCCCTGCTGCTGTTGCTGCTAAACCCTGAAAACAAAGACAGCACAAGAGACCATGTCACTGGCTCCTTGCCCGGATCAACATGCCTGTGGCTGGAGAGAACAGATTGCCTGGGCTGCTCCAACAACCTGCACTTCTGTGGCTTCTTTACCTCAGACACTGTCATATCTAAGATTTCACTCTAGCTCCATGACAAGAGAGATCGCCCAAGCACCTAGGTGTTGTGTGTGATTCAGAGCCTCTGTTTCACCTCCAGTGACAGGGAGACCACTGTTCCTGGGTCTGTCTGCTCCAGCTCTCGATGCTTCTGTAGAGACACATCTGCCTCCAGTCGACCTCCCCATGTGCCTGTCCAGGAGCCATAAGCTTGGTGGCTCTGCCCGTGATGGTGCTTCAGAGACATGCAGGCAGCACCTCCGTCCTCCACAGCCTTCCCCAGACCAGACACTCCTGCTTCCTCTCTTTCCCTTTGACTCAGTTTCCTTTGGGAAATACACAGGCAGATTCTCTGAAGGTTACACAGTAATGGGGGAAATGGAAACAGAGAGAAGCTTTGGCTGCTGGTGTCATCAAACTGACTGTTTTATCTTTGTTTTCAAAAGTTTTTGTTTTTTGGGCCGGCCCCACGGCGCACTCAGGAGAGTGCGGTGCTTGGGAGCGCAGCAGCGCTCCCACCGCGGGTTCGGATCCTATATAGGGATGGCCAGTGTGCTCACTGGCTGAGCACGGTGCGGGTGAAACCAAGCCAAGGGTTGCGATCCCCTTACCGGTAACAAAAAAAGACAAAAAAAAAAAAAAAAGTTTTTGTTTTTTGATTTTGTTTTCCTGCAAAAAAAGTAGTTCTGTTGAATACTAAGAGCACTAGCTAGATTTCGTTGCTGCAGGACTTCTCAGAGCCTATGAAATGAGTGGAGTATTTCCCAAACTTATTTGACCACAGAGCCCTTTTTTTATATAATGCATGAAATCCCTGCAGAATAACTGTTCCAATATCAGTTAGAGGAGAGATGATGTCACAGGATGTTAAAATGAGAGCCTTTCTGACTCAACATCAGGTAAGCCCCAACGTGCAAGTACAACTCCACAGGCAACAGGTAACCTCCACAGGCTAAAAGGAGTGGCCAGGCCACTTGTGGAGCATGCTACCAGACAATGAAATGACATCATCCCCTCCCTCGGGCTCTCTAAGAAAAGGGTTCATCGTGGGGCTGAGTGACGGGAGAGTAAGAATTCCTGTAGAGGGAATCTTCAGTGTGCTGTGGCTTTTCTCCCTCTCTCCCCACCATAAACGATTGGGTGAGCTGGATATGTATCCTTGGAATTTGGGAGACATCGGGACTGGTGTCTGATTCTCTCCAGGGAAGACAAAAGGTGAAAGTAGGGAGTCATCTAGATACAGAGTCTGGAGAAGGAGGTAGAGGGGGAGGAAAGGTGAAAAGCGGGGG